CTGAAGTCATGAATGAGCTAAGAAAGGGGAATAAGACTGCTTTTTTTTTAATGACAAAGTTGCCAGGTGTTCCAAGTGACTGCCTGAAAGATAAGTGATTCAAAGCCAAGTTGCCAGGTGTTCCAAGTGACTGCCTGAAAGATAAGTGATTCAAAGCCACGTTGACAGAAAGGCATGACAGTCTGCTTCTGAAAGGTCACAACTTTGAAAACCCTGTGGAGCGGCTAGTCCACACACATGGGGTTGCCTTGAATCAAAATTAACTTGGGACAGCGACTGGTATCCTTTTTTTTTTTTTTTTTTTCCGTGCAGTGATGGGAATGAATGTTTGGAAGTCACTAACTTCAAAAGGTAATTTAAAAGAGCACATCTGGCATGGAGAGATCTTTGTCTGATCCCCACTAGTTCCACAAAGGAGAATAATCCCAACAGCACAGAGCCGGTTTCTATGATGTCAGATATAACCCAACACACTCTACCTCTTTCTATCATACAATATTAACTATCCCCCTCAGACATTTATCAAAGTTCATAGAGTTTCCGGAAGCATGTTATTTAGTAAGTGGATGCCACTCCTGCTTCTTTGATAAATGTCAGTAGTTGTAGACAGGCTTCAGGCCTTTTGTTCATAGGGTCTCTGAGTCATACTTGACTTGACAACATCCCCCTCAGGGCCTATGCTCCTCTGTTACTGGGTAACCTTATCTGTTGCAATGACCACACAGAACTCACAGATTATACTCATGGTAATGAGGTTTACTAAGCTGAGCCATGGTGACAGTACCTCGTGAATTATGCAGCTGACCAATGACTTGAATCCACCAACAGCTCCACAGGAGAGAGATGGGCAGTCCTTTCCCATTGCAACTTACACCCTTAGGAACCCAGTAGAGGGTCACTGTGGGTCAGAACCAACTTAACAGCAGTGAGTTTGAGTTTTGATGATGTTTATTCAGCGGGATTGTTGTTATTGTTGTTATGTACCGTCAAATTGGAACCAACTCATATCTTACCTTCCACTGGGTTTTGAGAAACTGTAAATCATATAGGAGAAGATTGCCCATCTCACACACAGCAGTTGGTAGATAGTTGCTGTTAAGTACCATTAAGTCAGAACTGACTCATGGCTGAACCTCCAGTGGGTTTTCAGAAGCAGTAAATCACATGGGAGGAAATTGCCCGTCTTTCTCCCTCAGAGCAGCTGGTGGATTCAAACCGCATACCACTGAGTTGGCAGCGCAATTCCTTATCCAGAGCTCCCTACTGGGAGATTAGTGGGGAAATGACAGGTTGCAATTTGGGTACGAAACATGATAAAATTCTTCAGTTAAGACAGCTTTGTGTACTTGAAGGCCCTCTGACTTTTAGGCAACTCTTACACAGCCGTTTTATGTCTGACAATTATGGCATAATGTGTGTATCTCCTCCCCAGCCCTCCCTTGCCAGTCAGCTCTGGCTTTGTGAGGCTGCAGTTCCTGTTCAATTCTTGTCTCACATCATTCTCTGGTTCTCTGTCATCTCTGCTGTTCCTGCTGTGCTGGTCTAGGTCTTAGTCTGTCTTGTGCAGAAATCCCTGATTGCAGTCAGACTGCAGACTCTGCGTCTCTTTGTTTATGATAGTGAAATCTCCATTTTCTATTCCGGAACCCTTCACTTTAAGCTTGATGGATTACCAAGACTGACTAATCCACTTATTAAAATCCTGCCCACCTTATTTGCATATTACATCCTTAAAAGTACCCTTTGCCTCATCTACTTTATTATCATAGTCTTGCCCAGCTATATGGTGAAAATTAGTCATTTTGAACATTCTGCTATACTGTATATGATACTGTTGCAGTATTGTTGTTATGTGCTAGTGGCTTCCAACTCATAGCAGCCCTATGTACAATAGCCCTGCAACCAGCTCTATCCCGTGCCCACTTTACTGTTTCTGACACACCTACCCTCATTACCTCTGTCACTGAATCAGTCCATCTCATCAGTGGTCTTTCTCTCCCTTTCTGTCCCTCCACCCTTCCAAACATGATGTCTCTATCCAAGGATTGGTCCCTCCTTGCAGCATGCCCACAGTATGTCAGACGAAGCCTCAGAATCCTTGCCTCCAAGGACCAGCTTGGTGTCAACCTCTCTAGTATGAACCTGGCAGTCCATGGTATATTCAGTGCTCTTCTCCAGCACCACAGCTCAAAGGCATCAATTCTCTCTCTGTCATCCCTAGTCATTATCCAGCTTTATGAAATATAGCAAGCAGTTGCGAAGATCATGGCCTGGACCAGGTGCATCCCAGTCTCCAGACTGACGTTGTCGTTCTTCAGTACTCTGGAGAGGTCCCTGCATTAAATGTTTTAAAATGTCTTCACTTTTCTTCTCAGCCTGATTGTAGTCTTTTATATACATGACAAGGAAACCCTAAAAACTGCAATCTGTAACAGACAAGTTCTCCTAAGAGCCTGCCCTGCGCCCTACTCTTCATGCCTTTGAGGACCTCTGGATCCTCAAACAGCACTTGTGTGCTCAGGAATCACTCCACCATGAGCAACACATGACTCGGCACTTGGCAGGTACAAGGAGCTGTGCTGAAATGCTGAGGGGACACCAGGATGTGTGTGACACGGTTCCTGTTAGTCAGAACTCGGAATCCAGATGGCAAGTTAAGACATTTCATGCTTAAAATATTTTAGATACGAAGGCATGAGAAGAAGCCAAACCAAATTTGGATAATGCTTCCACATAGATCCCCTGAAAATGGGGGGGGGGGAAAGTTTAATATAGGAAAGTGAATGGGAAGGGAAAAAAAGGTATTGAATCATAAACGTATGCAGGTGTTTAGCTATAGTTCAGTTGAGTAAATGAAATTGCATATGTTAACGTCTTCATACATAGTATTATACCTCCATGGTAGGTATAGAATACACTTTTTTATAATGATTTGCAAAGTGATTATAAAGTGCAAAGTGATTATATAGTGATTATGCAAAGGCGTTTGACTCTGTGGACCATAACAAACTGTAGCTGACTCTGAGAATAATGGGAATCCCACAACATTTGATTGTGCTAATGCGAAACCTATACTTGAACCAAGAGGCAGTCGTCAGAACAGAGCAAGGAAACACTGCATGGTTCAAAATTGGGAAGGGCATACTCCAGGGATGAGTCCTGTCTCCATACCTTTTCAACCTGTATGTAGAACAGATCATCTGGGAGGCTGGGCTCTATGAGGAGAAATCCGGCATCAAGCTTGGTGGAAGATCTATCAACAATTTGCATTATGCAGATCACACAGCCCTGCTTGCTGAAACTGAGGAGGACCTGAAGCACTTGTTGCAGAGGGTCAAGGACATGGATTGAGGCTTAATGTCAAGAAGAGAAAGATTCTCACCACTGGACCAGTTGTCAGCATCAGGATGGATGGTGAAGAGATTGAGATTGTTCACAGCTTTAGTCGGCTTGGCTCCACAATCAACACTCTTGGCACCAGCAGCCAGGAAATTAAAAGACGTATTGCGATGGGAACGTCTGCTGTTAGGGATCTCTAAAGTACTGAAGAGCAATGGTGTCTCTCTGGAGACTAAGGTGCATCTGATACAGGCCATGGTCTTTGCAGTCACTTGTTATGCATCAGAGAGTTGGACAATGACTAAGGATGATAGAAGGAGAATTGATGCCTTTGAGCTTTGGTGTTGAAGAGTACTGAGGGTACCATGGACTGCTAAGAAAACAAATAGATTCATCCTGGAGAGAGTTAAACCAGGCTGCTCCTTGGAGGCAAGGATTCTGAGGCTTCGTCTGACACACTTTGGTCATGATGTAAGGAGAGACTGGTTCTTGGAGAAGGACATCATGCTTGGGAGGGTGGAGGGCAGGCACAGGAGGGAAAGGCCCTCTAAGAGATGGATTGATTCAGTGACGGGTAATTGGGATGAGTGTGTCGGAGACAATGAGATTGGCACAGGACAGAACAGAATTTAGGGCTGTTGTACATAGAGTTACTATGAGTCGCAAGTGACTCGACGGCACTTAACAACAACATAGTGATTTGAGTGAAAGTTTACAAAGGAGGTTGGTTTTCCACTCAACCATTCATACACATTTTGGTTTAGGTTTTGAACTGAGTAAAAATTTACAATTCATACTGGCTTTCATTTGCTCACTTATATTTTGTTTTGTTTTATGGCATTGAATGCAATACCCATATTGTAATTACACTCTTCCTGCTTCCTTCCTGTAATTCTAATTTCTGCTAATCATGTCTATTCTACTCCTCCCTGCCTATCAGGCTTTACTTTATATGATCTAAAGAGTAAGTGCATCCTTGTTATTACTGGTCACCTTATAAATCTGTGTATTGAATGGCTGAAACTTGAGCCATGGGTGTGAGATTTTGGGTGTGAGATTTTGTTCCAAGCTTGAAGAGTGACCCAGGGCCATGTCTCAGAGGTTCCACCTGTCTCTGTTAGACGTGTAAGCCTGGACTTTTTTGTTTTTCAGTTTTGTTCTATGCTTAGCCCTATCTCGGATCTTCTATTGTAATTCCTTTTGGCGTTGTTAACAGTGGTAGGCCGGCACCATCTAGTTCTTCTGGTCTCAGGATCATGGAAGCTTTGATGGTCCATTAGCCCTCTGGACTAATGATTTAAGTACATCTCGGCTTTTCTTCCTTCTTCTTTGTTCTGTTGGAGGAGAGGGAATAGTATTTTCACTTTAAATGACGGGTGGAATGCTTTTAAAATCCTAGTTACTACATACCAAAATAAGATACGGAACATTACCTTTGTGAAGTATGTTTTGCCTTTTGACCTTGATGTATCCCAAAACTATGATGTATGTAATGCACTTCTTACATATTCTTGCATCAAGAGAATATGTTAATGTATTCAGGAAACTATTAATAAAAATGCTTTTAGAAAAAATTATCTCTTTTTAAAATGTCTTTACCTTTTATTTATTGCTGTTATTGCTATTATTATTATTATTATTATTATATTTTTGTTTTCTAGGGCAAGAAGTGGTTTTCAAGTGCCTTGGGGAAGGAATTCTTGAAAAGGCATTTCAGGGGTATAATGCTTGTATCTTTGCATATGGACAAACAGGTAAGATGTGGCTTCAGTTTTGTGGCCCATTATTATTAAGCGTGTATTTATGAAAACTCAGAAATAGAGAACTCTTGAGAAGAAACAGAAAATGCTTTCAATTAGATAATAAAAATTTACCTTTTTAAAGGCACAACAACTATGGTAATTGGCTAATTCCAGTGTTAATGAGTAAAGCTAATTTCAGGTTATTAAGTGTTATTTTCCTAAATTATAGTTTTCAATTTTATTTAAACTAGAAATAGTAATCACCAGTCTCTCCATATAAATATTGTAGTAAATATTATGGTAATATTGCAGTAAAACTAGAAACTCTTAGTCTCCCTCTATGTTGGAATCTTTCACTAGGCTAGAGCTCAGTGATGATAAATTATGAAATCTAAACTTTGACACAATCAGATGAAACACGTAAGACAAAAATATCAGCGTCTCTACTATTAACACTATTAGCTCCTAGTCTTTCAGCTGTCTGTCGTTAACTTGTAGCCACTTGTCTTTCAGCTGTCTCATAATTTTGTTTGTCTAGTCAATTTTCAACTCATAGTGACCCTATGTGGTGTAGTAGAATTGTACATAAGATTTTTCTAGACTATAATCTTTAGGGGAGCAGGCCACTATCTCTTAAAGACCTAATAGGTCTATTTCCTCTGCCAAACTTTAGTTTGCAGCTAAGGGCTTATTCATTGGACCAAACAGAGCTCCTTACAGAGCTCCTTCTTTTAACTTCATAGAGGTAAAGACATCATCACAGTGTCATCTTATATCACATCACGGGATAACTTACATCACCCACAGTATCTGAGACAAAGTTTCACCATCCTTGCCTTTAAGGAGCACTCTAGCTGTTCTTTTCCCAAGACCTCAACTCAAAGGCACCAATTCTTCTTCTGTCATGCTTATTCATTGTCTAGCTCTCAATTGCAAAGCAGTGGTTGAAAAGACCATGGACTGCATCAGACGCACCTTAATCATCAGACTGACGTAATTTCTCCTCAGTGATTTGGAGAGTAATAATACACTAATTAATGTTATTTAATAATATATGTTGTTGTTATGTACTGTTGAGTCAAAATTGACCCATAACTGACCCTGCAGCAGGTTTTCAGAGGCAATAAATTGCATGGGAAGAGAGTGCCTACCTTTCTCCCATGGAGCTGATCGATTCAAACTGCCTGCCTTGATATTGTATAAGTGGGTGTTTTATTGTACATATGCATAAAAATTCTTTTTAATAGGTAAGAATGCACTCATTCATCTATAAAGAACGTGCTCTGTGAATCTAGCAGTGAGACTCAGATTGGAGACTATAATGGAGCCTGGGTTGGAGGGTCAAAACTGGCCCTTTTCTGCCTAAGCTGACTAATAACAGAAAACTCACACACTTGGAGCAGTATGTTTTGGGTCTTTGTCTACCCCCCCTTCTTTCTCTTTGCTCTTCTCCAGGTTCAGGAAAATCCTTCTCCATGATGGGCAATGCCGAGCAGCTGGGCCTTATTCCACGGCTCTGCTGTGCTTTGTTTCAAAGAATCTCTTTGGAGCAAAATGAATCCCAGACCTTCAAAGTCGAAGTCTCATATATGGAAATTTATAATGAGAAAGTTCGGGATCTTTTAGACCCCAAAGGGTGAGTATTAAGTAAAATTAACTTATATCAGCTTATAATAGATAATTAATTCAACAACTCTTTCCAATCCCAACTTCTGAATTTATTTGAGGGCTTGGTCATTGCTCTGAGTTCAGCTCATTTACTGACAAATCAACAACATCTGAAAGCCATCAGTATACTCCATACGCTTACAGATAATCCTATATTTGTATATAAATTTTCTAACATTTGCTAATTTATAAAGATGCTTTTACTGTTGTTATTATGTTTGGACTTAACGTGCCACTTTGCATATTTTTCCAAGTATTTACATGTATTATTTGAGTTGTTTTCTTTAGACAATTCTCTGAAATAGATTTTGTGTATATAAATTGTGTTAATGAAGAAATACAGGTTCAGGAGGATGATGTCAGTTGCACAGCCTGATAATGAGACAAAACCCAGATCAAATTTTTGTTTGCTACAAAATATTGTGCTATTTCTGCAGATAGAACAGATCTGGTTCTGTCCATCTATACTTGATTAGATGTGTCTGTTTCATTGTTGGACTGTGGTCGAGCAACAAGTTTTATTTGCTGAATTGCATACTTCTGAGAAATTAGTTCAGTAACAGGCCATCAGTTAGGAAGATGGCTTTCACTTCAATTCTGCTGTCATATTAGGGGATCCAAGTTCCTGCAAGGACATTAAATTGATGGACAATGATTCCCACTTTCTTGCTACCACATAGCTTTAATATTCCCTTGCCACGAAATTCTCTATTTGTAAAATCCATTTAGGATGACACACTGTTCCTTCACTTATACTGGAAAGCAGCACCTCTAAATTTGAAGTAAAGGGGTTGAAGAATTCAGGCATCTCAGCACAGGCAAATGCTTTGTGCATGGGATTCATGTGGAAAGCTTTATAAAGATAGACAATTCTGATACCTACCTTAAAAATTCAATAAACCTAAAATGAAACCTAGGCATATGTATTTTTCAAAAATTAGGTAATAAAAAAATAATTTTAAAAAATTGGGTAATAAAAATAAATACATAAAGGAGAAATATTTACATTTTTAAAATTAAAAAGACTAATTTAAAAAATAACATGTATTTGTAGAAACTTTAGAAAATAAAGTATAGAAGAAAAAAAGTTGACCTATACTAAAAAAAAAGTCCTAACCATTGCTATGGAGTCAGTTTCATTCATGTTGCCCCCACATGTATCAAAGTAGAACTGGGCTCTGTAGGGTTTACAGTGGCTGATTTTTCGTAGGTAGATCACCAGGCCTTTCTTTTGAGGTGTCAGAGTGCAAAGTTAACAGCCAAGTGCTTCAACTGTTTATACCACTTCAGAAATCTCAATAATTTTTTTGCTCCTTTTATCTCACTTAGTAATGCCAACCTTGAGTGTTAATTTTAAAGATACTTAATATCTAATGAGGGGGCTCCGGTGGCCCAGTAGTGTGAAGTTGCCACTGTCAACCCTCAGGCATGTAGTTTGCACCCACTATCTGCTCTGTGGGAAAAAGATGGACAGTCTCCTCCCATGTGATTTAAAGCCTCTGAAAATTTGCTGGATGGTCAGCTATGAGTTGATTTTGACCCAGCAGTAAACAGCAATAACAACATCTTATGACATGAAAAAGATAACATATACCATATGATCATATTACAGATAGATTTACCTTTAATCTCAACTATCTTTTTGATAAGTTATTCAAATAGACCTCGAATCAGGTTTTCCATTTAAAAATGGAAAGAGCTTTAAAATCTTCAATAGCAGAACCAATTTTAAATATTAGAAAATAATTATAACACTTGCTATATTGTAATAAGGAAGCTTTGGTGGCCTCATGGTAAGTTCATTGCCAACACACAGCACATTATTTTAATCAAGCAGTTGCTCCATGAGAGAAAGACGGGCAGTCTCCTCCTGTGCAATGTACAGCCTTGAACAACCTGCTGGAGGGTCAGCTATGAGTCAGTTGTAGTATTTTGTTTACAGTTGTTAAGATAGAAGTATAAATTAATACAGACTTGATGCAGTAAATAAAACATTTTAATAGTGTTTATTACATGTTCAAAAATTTTGATATATTCTTTACTGAGACATTGGTTGTTTATAAAATAGCCTTAATAAAAACGTGAAACACAGAACTACATGTGTCCCAGCTTTGGAAGCAGGGATATAAACAGAAACTTGATACAATTGATCAATGCAATACTATTCACAGTAGATAAAAGTAGATAGAACCTAAATGTTAACCAAGAAAGGAAAATGGAAAAAAAAACAACAACAACAAGGCATATGTTGTTGTTGTTATGTGCCGTCAAGTCGCTTGTGACTCATAGTGACCCTATGTACAACAGCCCTAAACTCCGCTCTGTCCTGTGCCAATCGCACTGTCTCTGACACTTCCATCCCAATTATCCCAGTCACTGAATCAATCCACCTCATAGAGGGCCTTCCCCTCCTGCGCTTTCCCTCCACCCTCCCAAGCATGATGTCCCTCTCCAAGGACCGGTCTCTCCTTACAACATGTCCAAAGTGTGTTAGACGGAGCCTCAGAATCCTTGCCTCCAAGGAGCCACCCGGTTTAACCCTTTCCAGGACAAATCTGTTTGTTTTCCTAGCAGTCCATGGTATTCTCAATACTCTTCTCCAGCACCAACAAGGCATATACACAATGAAATATTACTATGCCTTAAAGATAAATTAAGCCCTAGTACGTGCATAAATCCTCAAAACATCATGCTAAGTGAAAAAAAAGTCAGTTACAAAAGAACAATTAATGTATGATCCCGCACTATATATATATGAAATAGAAATGTCTATACATGTCGAGACCAAAGTTTATTAGTGGTTCCCAGGTTGGGAAAGAGAAGAAAAGTGGTGATCACTCTTTTGAGAGCACTGAATTTCTGTTAATAGTGGTGGTAGTTGCATTGTCTATGTCATTGAATTATATATGTAAAAACTGTTGCTTTGCAAATGTTTTTATATATAATTATAAGATTTACATATTTATCATATTATATTAATATTTATCATATTATATGTTGTTGTTGTTGTTGTTGTTAAGTGCTGTTGAGTCATAGACGACTCATAGCAACCCTATGAACAAAAGACTTGGACACTTGTATACCTTTCATCCTTTCTCCAGATTCATAGGGTTTCCAGAGGCAAGCTATTTCGGAAGTGGATGCCACTCCTGCTTCCAAATCATATTGTATACATATATTAAATAACATGTTTTATATATTTCTTAGTTCACACACAATAGAAACAATAGAATAAATAAAACAAAACATATGCACTCTCAAGAACAGAAAACAGTTTTAAGATTAAATTTCTTCCCGCCATATTCTTTACATCACTTCCTCCTCATTCCATTATATGGAGTATTTAAAGTGCTTTCCCCCACCCGCTGTTTCTTTCAAGTTTCTCTACAAAAGCAAGTTTGCCTAACCTAGTATTCTGAAATCCTCCCTATTTAGTTTCAAAATAGAGATAGAGTTTTTTAAATAGTAAGTTTCTTTAAATAGAAATTGGAATATAAGACGTGCCTCATATGGAATGCTGTCTGGCTAATCCATATAAAGAAGTTTTTAGAATATTTCCTGCTCGTTGAAAAAAAAAATGTCTTTTGAAATTGTTATCTTAATTTATTCAAACTTACAAAGAATGAAATGCTTCCAAATTTGGTGTGACTCATTCATTCCCTTTTCTTCCCTCCCAAAGGAGCAGGCAGTCCCTTAAAGTTCGAGAGCATAAAGTTTTGGGACCATATGTAGATGGTTTATCTCAGCTGGCTGTTACTAGCTTTGAGGTAAGTGTCTTTAGAAAAAAACAACTGACAAGAAAATCAAAGAGTGTCATGGATATTTGATATATTTGTATGTTAATGCTTTATAGCATTTTGCTACCAAAAACCAAGGATCAACTTGAGGGGCTTAGTTAAGGTTCTGACACCTGGGCAGCCTTGAAATTGGGCCTTCCTTCCCAGTTCAAGCACTCCTGGGCTATCTTTAAGTTGTTCCTACCCCTTCTGGTTTAAGATGAATAGATATCGTTGGCTGCCTTGGGTGGTTGGCTTTCAAGTTTAGCTTTCTGCCTTCTCTTCCTACCACTCCTCACTGGACCTCTGGGTGTCTGTCATGTTTGGAGAAGGATGTGGGGTTCAAAAAAAGGTTCAAAAAGTGGCACTCTGGGCTGTGCCATACCTTAGCTGTGCCTTTGACCAAAACATACTGAACAAGGAGCAAAGTCTTCTAATCACATTCTTCAAGCTTCTCTGTTTTGAAAGATTTTCAGTGTGGTCCAACGTTTAAAGTCTGCTGCCTCTTTTCACTAACACCACTCTGTTGAGACTATTCTTCCTGAGGTTGCCAAGCAATGTCTTTATAGACAAATCTGGTATTTAAACAGTATTTCACTCCACCCCTTCTTTGACAGCATCTCCCACATCATTACTTTCAGTCTTCTGGTTCTGCTTTCCTGAATCATTCCTTTCCCCGCTGACTCATTCATATTCCTTTGCAACCTACTTAACTGTTAAGCTCTATGTTATGCTCTTATTTCTCTAGTCCCTTTTTTGGAAATCTTCTATTGTGAACTACTATCTCTGTTGCTGAAGAATGTAAATGGGCAAATGGTCGTACTTGTGTTACCTTTGTTGCCTGTTGTATCATACACTCAATGTGACTGAAGTTAATTAGCAAAGTAACTCTTTCATAACCATTAAAATGAACATGTGCTTAGAATTTCTCAGATCAGAAATATGCAGCCATCTCTTAAAATTTTCAAACTCTGAAATGAATGGAAATTTGTAAGACATAAAAATTCTAGGTCAAACAGTGCATCTGTAGAATTAGTGAACACTTTGCTAAAGAGCTCTAATGTTAATTCACTTTTTCATTTAGTGAGGAAAATTTATATTTAGAATTACCCATCTGGACTTAGTTTTTGTTGTTATATGTCATTGAGTCACCTTCAATTCATAGCAACTCTGTATAAAACTGCTCTGAACTCTATCTTGAGCCAATTTTGTTGTCTCTGACACACCTACCCCTAATACCCCAGTCACTGAGTCAATTCATCTCATCCAGAGTCTTACTCTCTTGTGCTGTCCTTCCATGCTCCCAAGCATAACATCCCTCTCTAAGGACTGGTCCCTCCTGACAACATATCCAAAGTATATCAGACAGAACATCAAAATCCTTGCCTCCAGCAAACAACCTGGTTTCACCCTCTCCAGGACAAACCTGTTTATTGGTAGCAGTATATATTCAATAGTCTTCTCCCGCACCACAACTCAAAGGCATCAGTTCTTCTTCTATCATCCTTAGTCATTGCCCAGCTCTCTGATGCATCGGAAGTAATTGTGAAGACTATGGCCTGGATTAGGTGCACCTTAGTTTCCAGACTGACATCATTGCTCTTCAATATTCTGGAGAGGTCCCTGACAGCAGACTTTCCCAGTGTACTTCATCTTTTGATTTCCTGGCTGCTGGTGCCAAGAATGTTGATTTTGGAGCCAAGCAAGCTGAAGCTGTTAACAGTCTCAGTCTCTTAACTGTTTATCATGATGCAGCCAATTGGCCCAGCAGTGAGAATATTTTCTTAATGTTGCTTTCAGTCCACATCAATCAATTTAAAAAAAAAAAAAAACCAACCCCCCCCCAAAAAAAAACCAAACAAACCTATGTACAACAGAGAGGACTCAGTTTAGATGATCCCAATTTTGTTTGGAAAATCCAAAGTATCATAGTCAAGAGCAAGTCAAATACAGACCTTCTTCTCTCTGTCAGGCTTAATCAGGGTGTTGACCTTGGCCACATCAATGTCTAAGAGCTTCTTTACAGCTTGTTTGATTTGGTGCTTATTGGCCTTGACATCCACAGTGAACACAAGTATGTTGTTATCTTCTATCTTCTTCATGGTTGACTCTGCAGTCGGGAAACTTGATGATGGCATAGTGTTAAGTTTGCTTCTCCTGGGGGTGCTCTTCCGGGAATATTTGGGCTGCCTTTAGAGTCACAGCTTCTTAGGCCACTAGAAGGTGGGTGACATGCAGATCTCTTTTTTTTTTTGTGACAGGATGCCATCCATGACTATCTTCTTGGCCTTTAACACCTTTGCTTTTTACTTCATTTTTGCCAGGGGCTTCCTTCTTTGCTTTTGGTGCCATCTTTGTGGAAAAGTGTTAACTCACTTTTGTTGGGTTCTGTGACTATCTTATCCAGCCACAAATTAGTAAGAACCAGGTAGCTTGGGATCTGTATCCCAGTGCTGCTTGTTGCTAGATGTGGGAAAAGTAATTTAGCCTCCTTGCACTTTAGCACCTTTGTGTATAAAATCACAAAGATATCTCTTTCATAAAAATCCGGTCATCAGACATTTCTTGGGAACTTATAAGAAGCAAGCATTTTAGGAGTAAATATGTGCAGAAATTAAGAAGAAGCAGATAGCAAGACAGGCGGATAAGTCAAGATAGTCACAATTACTATTTTTTAAATATTAGTTACATGTTTAAATTTTATTTTGCCAACTTATCCATTTTCACTCACTTCCCTTCCCTGTTAATAAAGGTTAAAATTAAATCAGGCTTCTGTTTCAAGTATCTGTAGTACTCAATAAATTGTTTTTGTTGTATACTGCCAAATTGGAACCAACCCATAGCTGACCCTCCACTGGGTTTTCAGAGGCAGTAAATCACACATACGGAGATTGCCAGTCTTTTTCCTATGGAGTAGCTGGTGAATTCAAACCACATTCCTTTGGGTTACTAGTGCAGCTCTTTACCACTTCTCTTGTTGTAGTTGCATACTGTTGAGTCAAAACCGACTCTGAATCGCAAAGGAGGAGATTACCCATCTTTCCCCAGCACAGCAGCTGGTGAAGTCTAACCTCATGAGGCCTTTAGATTGCAGCTAAACTTGCAATGGAGAAAATAAAGACGTAGCAGAGAAGGAGCTCTGTTGACAGTGTGGTGTGTCCTTGACTTCTTTGTGCAAAGTTGACACTTTGAACCCACCAACCATTCCGTGGGAGAAAAGACCTTGTAATCTGCTCTTGAAAAGATTACAGCCTATGAACCTTACAGGAAATTCTCTGTCCTATATAGTTGCTGTGAGTCAGAATTGACTCAAATAAACAAACACTATCAACAACAGAAAAAGAGTACAATAGTATGGACAGGAGGTAAGATCAAAGAGAGGGAGGTGGTAGACCAAATCATGCTTGATGGAGGAAAGGCAAGGAGACTTTTCTGGAAGGTTGGTGAGGGCATCAAGCGAGATCTTAATTCATAGCCATATGGGAAATCAGTACAATATTCTCATTTTTTTACTCCCATGTGCTTTCCTTATGTCTTGCCTCTAGGATATTGAGTCATTGATGTCCGAAGGAAATAAGTCTCGAACGGTAGCAGCAACCAACATGAACGAAGAAAGTAGCCGCTCCCACGCCGTGTTCAACATCATCATCACGCAGACGCTTTATGACCTGCAGTCTGGGGTGAGGGATCAGGCAGAACTTTCAGGAACAGTGAAGGGACTCTAAATGTCTTAGTGGGTGAAGGAGTTCACGTATATATATTGTGTTTCATAAAATCAACCACTATATATCTGTGCCTACTATTACCCTGTGTTTTCAGATTGACATTGGATCTTGCCTAATTCCTTTTCCACCTTCCTCCACCCCCAAACTCAGCCTTCTTCCTTTCCATATAACTTTCAAAGAAAATTGTATTCTTATGTAAACTCCCTAAAGAACATACTGATGACAGCTTCTATTGTGTATTTTTTCAGACTGAATTTCCCCTTGAAACAACTTAATCTACCTTACAGTAGTTGAAGGATGTTACATCAGACACTATATCCTTTAGCCGAAAGGACACTATTCCCAAAGAAGTGGAATTTCACTTACATATGCAGGAATTCACATGTCCTTCCATTTCCTCACAGACACTTAGTACCTCCAGCTTTCTGGTTATACACTGGAAAGCTGAACATACTTGTCACCAGCTGTAATACAGAATGCAAGCTTCCGTGCTAATTTAAACTTTGGCTATGAAAAGTATCCCCCATACAAATAACCTCAATGACAGTTTAAAATCTTACGGAGAGTACTGCCTTGTTGGAATGGTACTCCCACTGGTGTCTTTGTTGTCGTGTTGACATGGGTGCAGCAGTCTGTGTGGTTTTCACATTGATGTGTATCTTCTCTCTCTTGTTTTCTACACCTAGAACTCAGGCGAGAAAGTCAGTAAAGTCAGCCTGGTAGACCTGGCAGGCAGCGAGAGAGTATCTAAAACGGGAGCCGCAGGAGAGCGACTGAAAGAAGGCAGCAACATTAACAAGTAAGGGGACCCTATGAGCACGTCCTCGGGATCGCGGGGTTAAACTGGGGTACATCCTGCTGGTTACACATCCTGGGAGATTTCTTCACATGGGGCTGATGTTGAGTACCTGAGCTGGCATCTGCTAAGATGTGTGCTGAGATCCAAGTTACATGAGGTGTATGTGGGGAAAGCCATGTGGTCCAGCTCTGCTCTGCTCTGCTCAGAGATTGTATTCATACATAGATGTATCATTATTTATAATGATGGTAAATGTACATCACAATTTCATAAATCAATTCATATCTTAAATGAGCTAGTAAACTCAAAACTAGAAATTACTCCTAGCAGACCCTCCAGCAGGTTTTCTGAGGGTCTAAATCACACGGTCTAAAAAACACGGGAGGTGTTTGCCCATTCTTATCCAGCAGAGCCACCAGTGAACTGCCAGAGAGGCACTGCCTTTGGGTCAGCATAGCAGCTCCCTATGAAATATGCCAGAACTAGGAGAGTCTGTTGTGAAAAGAAAAGCTACTTCGAATCCCTTTATGATGTTAACACTTTTCAAATGTCAGTAGTTTTTTTAAAAAAAAACAAACAAACAAGCAGTTACTGAATAACTGCCATGCTGAAATCTTACTATTTACCTTTACTTCCCACTGTGTGTACAGTGATGCAATACAGGCTTATGTATTGGTTCCCAAGGGCTGCCAAAACTAAGTGGGTGGGTGAAAATTACTCTCTCACAGTTTTGGAGGCTAGAAATCCAAAATGTGGCTGAGCCGTGCTTCCTCCTAGGTCTCTGCAGCGAAATCTTGCTTTGTCTCTTCTAGCCAGCCCAGACATTCCTCGGCTTATAAATGCATCTTCAAATGACCGTCTTCCCTCTGCATTCCCTTGTCTGGTGTATGACTCCATTCCTACAGGATTAGTAATCACCCTGCTCCAGTTTGACCTTATGTTAACTGATAACAACTTCAAAGACCCTATTTCCAAACAGGATCACATTGAAAGTTACTAGAAGTTAGAATACTAATATATCTTTTTCAGGAACACAAAGCTGACAGAGAGCAGAGATGAAGGTTGTATAGGGGTTTGCTGGTTAACAAAGGAGATAGAAACTTTGCATGCAGATAAGGCAGATGAGGCCCAGACAAACCCAAGATTTGTTATTTTAAGTGACGTCCTAACCCAGGAAAGGAGCCCTTGTGTCTCTGCCGGTAAATTCTTGGCTGATTGCCAAAAAGTTGCTGGTTCAAACTTACCTGGCTACTCTGTGGGGAAAAGACCTGGTAATTTGCTTCTGTGAGGATTACAGCCTAGAAAACCCATAGTTTTACTCTGTCACATGGAGTCACTGTGAATTCAAGTCAACTCAACAGTACTCAGTAGCAGCAGTGACACAGGACAGCCAGGGAATGTGTTCAAGAGCGGAGATAAATCCATCACATGTTGATGAATCAGGGGACGTGCATGCACCTGAAAATTAAGAGGAAATCTGTTTGCTTTCCAGTATGAAAGGGAGAGGTTTGTATTTGAGAGTGTGCATTCAAGCCAGACCACCTTGGCACCGTGGTTTCTTCCTAACTCTTTCACTTACCATAGATACACACACACACACACACACACACACACAAATATGCACATATACATCCATAGTATATACATGGGGAGCTCTGGCCTAGTGGTGAGAAGTCGCTCTGCAATCCCAACGACACTTGATTCAAATTTACCAGCTGCTTCTCTGGAGAAAGAAGTCTAATCTCCTCCTGTGTGATTAACTGCCTCTGAAAACCCACTGGAGGGTGGAAAACAATATATTCAAACTTTGTAAGTAAATCAGAGTGATATAAAATAAACAAAACTAATGTACATAGGGTCGCTATGAGTCGCAGGCAACTCAACGGCACATAACAACAACAACAACAACAACAACAACCCACTGGAGGGTCAGCTATGGGTCAGTTCCCACTCAGCAGTACAGCAGCACAACAGTGTGTGTGTGTGTGTGTGTGTGTGTGTGTGTGTATCACCATCCCCCATCCCAATATAATGGGAGCTCTAGTGGCTTAGTCCACAGGGAATTGTGCTGCTGACCCAAAGTCTGTGCCTTTCTGGTAGTTTAGATCCACCAGGCAACTCCATGAGAGGAAGATGAGCATTATACGTGTATGTATCTTCCCATCTGTAAAAAGAAAAACATAATGTGACTCATAACAACCCAACAGTTCTGAACCCTACCCTGTCTTAAGCCAGTTTCATTGTCTATGGCACACCAACCCCCTTTACCCCAGTCACTGTCAGTTCATCTCATCCAGGGTCTCCCTCTCTTGTTCTGTCCCTCCCCATTTCCAAGCATGATATCCTTCTCTAAGGACTGGTCCCTCATGGCAACATGCCCAAAGTATTTCAGACAGAGTTTTAAAAACCTTGGCTTCAAGGAACAGCCTGGTTTCATCCTCTCCAGGACAAAGCTGCGTGTTCCCTTAGCAGTCCATGGTATGTTCAAAACTCTTCTCCAACACCACAGCCCAAAGGCATTGATTCTTTTTCTGTCATCTTAATCATTGTCCAGCTCTCTTATGCCCTATCCCCGGATAAATAATCATTATCGTAGCTTTCATTTCCAAGTTCAGCAGAAAGTAGTTTAGTCTGTCCTTGTAATCTTTTTTGGTGGAGCTGGAATAACTTGGGATTTAGTTTACAACAGAATGTCTCAAAAGGAAATATACTCAGAAGCATATTTGTGCAGGCTGCATTTTTAAGTGATGTCAGCACATTATGGTTTTAGCAGACAGTGGTTTAAATTTAGAAATCAAGTAGAGAGCCCCCCCGCCCCATCAGATGGACGCATAGCCGCACTCCCAGAGAGAAACACTGCCGCTTTAGGAAATTAATCTTTCAGTCATCCTGTCTCCTGCTCAAATCACAAAGGATTTTGCTGTTATTTCATGACAAGGCAGTACAAGATCCCAGACGAGCACTGTAGTTCTGTGTTCTGAAATGAGCTCAGAAACAAGAATGGCAAAGCAGGGCTGAGATGGCAGGGAGCAGGGACCTAAAAAGGATTACTACCCTCTTAGTGGTTCACTTGCTTCTGCAGAGCTGTGCCCACATTTTGCCTACCACCTGAGCTTGTGAGAAAGCACTGGGATTACTGTGCTGTGACTGTGGGTTTTTAGAGTATATGTATGTGCCTTCCTTGATACACAGTGATCGCTGGCTTAACCAAGTGCTGTTCTAAATCCTCTGTGTGGTGGTGTTCATCTGATCCTCATGTCACTCTTGTGACATAAGTCTGTTACCCCTATTTTACAGATGAGGAAACCAAGGCAGAGAATGATTATTTAATCTATTCAGGGGCACACAGCTCTGTGTATCTTTAGATGCTGACAGTCTCACTCCACAGCCCAGACTCAGCTGTAAGGCTCTGCTTAGGATGAGCTTGTGTTCTGTTTGCCTAGAAGAGTCCTGGTTATACTTTTCTTCCACGGTACTCTCTATCACACACAAACACATGCACATAAAACTTGCATAAAAAATTTCTGCATGATTTGCAAAACCTGTATAATACGCATGCTATCTGTATAAAGTCAAGATAACTATTAAAACAAGAGGGAACTCTTCTGGCTTAGTAGGGAAGGAACTGTACTGCCAATCCAAAGACAAGCAGTTTGATTCCACCAGGTGCCCCAAAGGACAAAGATGGCCAGTTTCCTCCCATGCAATTTACCTCTGAAAACTCACTAGAGGACTAATTGTGAGTCAGTTCATCTCAATGGCTATGAGTTCAGTTTTGTCTGTTAAGAGAAGAACCGATGCCTTTGAATTATGGTGTTGGCAGAGTATTGAATATCCCATGAACTGCCAAAAGCACAAACAAGTCTGTCATGGAGGAAGTGTAACCTTAGAGGCTTAGAAGGTAAAACTTCATCTCACATACTCAGGGCATGTTTTAAGAAGCCAGTCCTTGGAGAAAAACGTCATGCTGGGATAGGTAGAAGGTCAGTGAAAGAAGCGATGTCAATGAAATACTGACACAGTGATTGTAGCAATGGGCTCCAATATGGTAGAGATGTTAAGGACGATGCAGGAGAGGGCGAAGTTCTGATCTTCTGTCTTGTTCTGTTGTTCATAGGGTTACTATGAATTGTAGTGGCCTCTGGCACCTAGCAACAACAAAATTAAAAGTGTCCTTTACATTTTCTAACGTGTCCTCATATGGACACAAATTATGTAGTGCCCTTGAGAGGACAGCGCTAAGATCACATGCTTCTATTCCAAAGTGGCTTGTTGAATTGATCGGAGTTCTCTCCACATAAACTGTCTTTCCTTGTTTGTATGCTGTTTCACAAATGGATATGTCTATCACAATTAGAAGATAAAAATTTTTTATTCACTGCTCTCTATCATTTTCAAAGTGCATTCATGTGGCATTACTTCATTTGATGGGTTTAACAGGTATTTTTAATCTTCATTTAAAAGTGAAGAAATGCATACATGAATACATGCAAAATATAATAAAGAAAAGCCCAGTAAACATTCATTGCGTTTCTGGCACAGCATCAAATGCAGACATTATTTAGATATTGAGTTGAGCAGAATAATGAACACTCCATTCCTAAAAGTTGCCCTTTTTGCTTCTCAAAAGCTCTGACTGTGCACCTTATAAGCTAGAGGGCATTTGCAGGCATGATTAAGTTAATGGTTTTGAAATGGAGCGATTATCCAGACAAACCCAATGTTATGACAGGTGTAAGTGGTTGGGAGCCAATGTCCAAGTGTGTACGTGATGCTGTGTGAGAAAGACATGACCAACCACTGCTAGATGGAAAGGTAAAAGAATGAAAGGTAGAAGAAGAGCCAAGGAATGCAGGTGGCTTGTAGACGCTGAGGTGTGCAGTGGAGTGAAGGTGGAAACAGGAACTTTTCTGGAGCTTTGGGAAAGAACATAGCCTTGCTGACATCTTGATTTTATTTCAATGAAACCCATTCTGGACTTCTGGCCTTCACAACTATAA